ATATATATATATATATATATATATATTTTGACAATATTATAATTCAACACTACTAGAATTTTTCTTATTACATACGATTTTTTATGCGAATTTTGCAGAAAAATTTGTAAGAAACGTTATTCTTACAAATTTTTCTGTGAAATTTTTTCTTCAAGTAATACTTTTGTAGATAATATGTTTTCATGAATTTTAAAATTCACAAAAATTTTCTTATGACATTTCTTGTGAAAAAAATTCGCAGGAAAATTTCCTGCGAATTTTTTTTGCAAGAAATTTTATACAAAATTTTCTTAACAAAAAATTAAAGAAATTATTGTAAAACATTTATTGCAAATTTAAAATTCAGAGGTAATTTTTGTGTAAATTCTATTAATAATTCTTCAACTTTCAAATGTTCACAATGAATTTATTTTAATTCCATGCCTCTAACATGTAATGCATAACTTTTTAAACTCTTAGATTGTAGATTATAAATATAACATTTAACCATAAAAAATTAACTTGTAAGGTAAATGTTGCCCCCAGCTTATATTCTCTTTAATTGCTTTATTTCTAATTGATGTGAAATTTGATATTTTTTTTAAATATTAATTAGATCATTTCTTTAGAAAGAGAACTAATTTATTATATTGAACTACAAAATTTTATTATTATAAATTATTTTAAATCTTAAAATATTTAATATTCTAAAAATAATAATTTTATTTTAAAAACTATAATTAAATTAAAACTCATCATCATTAATTTATACATTTAATTAAAATAAATATTTAATGTATTAATATTTTAAATTAAAATTAATTTTTATGAAATATTTATAAATAATTTAGTAAAATAATATTTTGTTAAGTAAATAATTTTAATTTTAAAATTTTATAAATTATCATTAAATTAAAACTCATTATCATTAATTTATCATATTTATAAAATTTTATATATTTAATTTAATTTAAATAAAAAATAATTATAATGATATATTTATAAGTAATTTAGTAAAATAAAATTTTTTAATTAAAATATTTTAATTATTAAACTTATAAATTTAAAAATTTTCTTTAAATTTTTCCTGTAAATTAAAATTGGCAAGAAAAGTTACCTACGAAATTTTTCTGTCATTTAGTAAACATTACTTGCAAATTTAATTTTACAAGAAAATTCGTAAAAACACAAAATAAAATTTTTACAACCTTTTCTACAAATTGTTACTATGAATTTTTTTTTATGATGATTAAAATTACAGCAAAATTTGCCAAAAAAAAATGTAGATTATTTTTCATAAAAAAATTTATAAAAAATTCCTATAAATTATTTTTTACAAATTAATTTACAAAAAAATTATGAAATTATTATTGCAAGAAAATTCATAAAAAAAAAAAGAAGATATGCAAATATTTTTTTTAGAAAAATTCACAAGAAAATAAGGTAGTGCAAATTTAGTACTATGTACATAATATTCATTACTTATTTACTATATGATTAAATGAATTACACATTACCCATTTACTCAATAAAATGAGATCCGAAGTAATTTTTCAACATCCTACCATAAATGGAAAGGTAGTTAACTAATAAGAGACGAAATAAAGCTGGTTAAGAATTCAATGTATGAGTTTGAGTTTTCACATGATGATTTGAACATGGACTTGATGAAGATAATACGTATTGTATATATAAGAAAGCTATTTCATATTCAATGCATTAACATTTTAGTTTAATAATACACGTCACTCTACTTTCAATCTCCCCCTTGTCAATATAGAGCTGAACCATACATCATTTTTTTTGTGTGTGTGCGTGAACAAAAAGATGGAGTTATCTATTGTATAACTTTTTTTTTTTTTTTTTTAACTATGAGACAGATAAAAAGTTAAAAGAGATAATGTGTGACACAAGATGTACCATATGAAGTAAGATAACGTAAAAAAAAATCTTTGGAGAAGCTATGGATTGAAAAAATTTCACATGAAATTGCTGTAGGCTGATTTGGCTGGTCTTGTTGATTGTTTTGTAAAGTGATTCCCTTCTATGACATGTATTTGTTAAAGGGAATCACTTTTGTTGAGGGGATTCATTTGTGCCTTGTGTGCTGTTTGTTTTTCCGTGCCTAACTTTGTTACTCTGCGTACTGTTAGTACACTTGTTTAATAAATCTCCACTTAATTTGTCTATAAAAATAATTAAATTATATGTTCAATTTTAACTGTGTGTGAGAGTGAGATTAGTCTAATCCAATAAGCTAAGTGATAACCGTGACAATTAATGTAACAAATATATAAGTATTTAGATACTCTTTTAGACTTTTACATAGACTTGTAATCCATAAACATTACTTGTAAGTTGTAATCCATATTTATGATGAATAAAGTTTTACTTTATATATCCTAACTATAAATATAAGTTTATTAGAAAGGTAACTAACTTTGGTTAGACAATTTTAAAGTGATAATTAATGTGACGCACTAAAAAAAATGCAAAATAACAACAACCAAAATTAACGACTGAAGGAGTTTCTCTACTTCCTATGGTGCTAATCATACAGTCATGATTTTGTATATTCATGATCACCAATGATACTCACTGTCATCATATTTTTGTTGAAAATAATTTGCTAAGGCAGTCATTTTCCATATTTTGTTAGTGTTGTGATCATAATTAGTGCTATAAATGTAATATTATTTTTTCTTCTAAAATTTAATATATTAAATAATATACAAATATGACCAATAAAGGGCTTGAATATGAATGCTACCTCTAATCATTTGGAGCATAAAAGTTCATTATTGAGTAGTTTTACTCTAGCTTAAATCCTGTGCAAATTGGATTCTCTTGCCTTTTTAAAAAAATAATAATAATTAATGATTGTTCTCCCATCTTATATTTTGATCAGTGTTCTCTTGCTTATCTAAACACTAAAGAAAATTCTTTTTATAAACTAAATCAATTTCTTGCGAGTCATATGGTTTTGTCTGGTAGAGAGTATAGCATTGTGCTTTGTCTCAATAATAATAATAATAAAGTATGCTAACTTGAAATTATTTTTCCCACACAACAATGTTATTTTTAATACCGCTTGCATTCTATGGATTTATTATGCAGATTTATGCAAACTTAAATCCTGAGCATATATTGATCAATTAATTAAAAAAATCCTCTAAAAACTAGTTTTAAATTAATCAACTGATAATTAATTATAGAATTAATTGTATGAACATGGCATTAGTGTCTTGGTGTGGTGTAAAGGATAAATCACGTGTGGCATTAGTGACTTGTGTACAACGTTGGCTTAGGACTATTTTACTAGAGAAATGGTTTAACCTTCCTTTGTAGGAGGGCGATTGCTTCATGTATTTAGTTATACTTATGTGTGTGATGATATTTATTGGAAATATTTTTTCTGTGAAAGATGTTCGGTAAATATTTATCATTTTTAAAATATTTTAAATTTTTTTTTCATTAAAAAAACATTAAGAAAAGCTACAATGAGAATTTACATTTTTTTAAAAAAGGTATAATGAAAGAAAGTGGAATGTTATGTTAGAGAATGACTTCTATTATTGCCATATAAATGCAACAAGGAAAATGCTAATCAGTAACCTAAAGATACTGATCCTAAAGATATTGGTTAAAGAATTAAAAGTGAAAAACATGTATTGAAAATTATATTCATTAGTGTAACTTCTTCATCGTAATTTTTAATAATAAAAAAATTACTTGTTAATTTCTTAACTTATGCTCTTATGTCACTGGTTAACAGACCCATATAACATTGTCACATGAGAATAGAAGAGAGAAAAAATACGTAATATAAATATCATTGAATAAATCACGTCTAAGAATATTATTTTATAACTTGTACGGAAGACGGAAATGTTACATTCACAAATTCATAATCCGGATAATAATTTTGCAACACTTAATCAAACAAATCTAGACATGATAATGTAACTTTATGTGAATAAAAGATATTCAACTATCTATTTTTTTCAACTTTCTAATAAATATAGAAATAAATATTGTTCACACATTTATATTTCTGAGAATAGAAGATGACGTAAACAAAGATTCCTGAACTCATTTCCCTTTGAAAGAGCTAAAATTGGTGAGGGACCTAGGATCCAATTTTTGATGATTCTACTACTGTACATGTCAAAAATGTTGTGTTGTGCCTTGTGGGAAAGATGTATACTCTAGTTATTGTCGACTTCTCCTTTTGTTCTGTTTACATTTTTTTATTTGTTTTTATATTGTTATTTTTATTTTTTTTTACCTTTTCATATTTCTCTTTTTCTTTATTTTTATATATAGATAAATTTGGGTGTCCATCACATCATATATAGAAATGAGTTCAGATTTAAAATTTAGAGTTCGTGTCCTACTATTGATCGAGTGAATTCATACTAGTTCGAAAAGGTCCGATATGAAGGCAACTAATAAACCAAAACACTCAAAATCTAAAGCCAGGCCCAATACTTTCTAAAGTTTCGTTTATGGGCCTTCACGTAGGAGAAGTGAGAACAACATTGGTAGGTAAGGCTTCGTTTGGAGCATATTTTCACGTGGTACGGCTACCTAATAGTCAACACTTGAACCCCCATTTCTCTGAGGAAGAAATAAAAGCCCAAATCACTACAATTCACTTCGACACAAAATTAAACTTTAATTCAATTTTTTTTCTTTGTTTTTTCTCCATCCAAACAAACAGGACAAAAATTTAAGGAAAATTTTCAAAATATAAATTTCACTGAGGTAACATTTGCAAGTTAATCATAAGAATATACCCATTTGATTTGCAAGTTTTGTACTTCAATTAAATTATTGGTAACTGAAATCCTTTACCCAAAAGTTCTTACAAGATCTTACATACTTCTCCACGTGAAGGTGCGCAAGGAATTCGGGAAGGTTTCCACAATACTTTATCAAATTTAACAATCATTCACCATTCAAATGCCCAAAACATTTTAGGTTAGATATGCTTCAAGTGAACTAATGAAACAATTAAAGCACCATTGTATCAACTATAATTTCTGAAATTTTTGTACTGGTTTTTCTTTATTTTGATAATTATATTATTGATACATAGTATCATCAATTTTATTAATAACTAATTTTTGTTATAAAAAAAATCTAACCGGTTAGCTTGCTTAAGATGAGCGAGTTATACCAATTTAATACTATAAGTTGAGGCCTAAAAATAGGTTACCCCTATACGATTGATTGATTGCTGAACC